GAGAGGAGTATCTCTTCTTTTGCAGGATTCTATTTCTACACATAAGAAAGGTATCAGAAATTTGCCAGCTTCACTTTCAGTTGACTTTCCTCTCAATTTCCTGTATCTAGTCACTACACAGACTGTATATGAATGTCATAAGCATCTGCCATTTAATTCCACAGACTGATTACCATATATCCATCCCAACGTATTAAAATCTAGTGCAGACACTAAAATGCTACTCTTAAATTCAGAGTATTTGCTACAATTAATGTATGCAAATACCAAAGTGATCCACAGGTAGATTTTATTTGTAATTTCCACCCAGAAAAAACTAAAAACCTACATTTTGAAAATCACCCTAAAGTTTCCCAAAGTGAATCTGCACTTCTGCTTTAACTGAAATATATGCATTCTCCTTCCTATTAGAAATGGCTTGCTTAGGCCAAAAAGGAAACTTTGCTCTTCCATGAAAGAAAAGTGCTTTTTACTCCTGAAATCTATTCGCCCTTCCTGTTCCTTCCAGAGCAAACATATAGTTATGTACTTTGGAAGCGGGAAAATGACAAGCATAGGAGAAAAGGCTACTTTGCCAGCTAAGGAGACTACACTAACCGTGAATAGACCTGAATTATTAAGAGTATGGAGTAGTGGCTGCAAAATGAGACACATGAAAACTATTACAAAGGTAATATGAAATAGGTCACATGAATATCCTCAACAGAAATATGTAAAAGAGGTTATTTTTAATTTAGAACATATCTAAATATATAGACATGTTTAATTTAGACATATATTTTTAACTTAGAAATACATAGAAAGAAAAATATTTCCTCATCTTTGCTGCCACTATCAATGTCATTTTTCTGAATGTTGGGCCTGGGTTAGCAGTATGTATATAGGCATGAAGTCACTTAAAACTGAGGCCCTAAATCCCCAAAATCACATGTAGAATTTGTTGTAAATAGACTTATTTCTAGAGAAAGAATTCAATTAACAACTCTGAAACAATACAGAATTTTTAATGTTAGCCATTTGTTTTTTTGCATTAAGACTGATGAGGAATGCTTTAAAGTTAGATTAGAATTGGCCACATAAAATAGGTAAGTATAATAAAAATTTGAGTGCCACATAATAATTTACATTATTAATGAAATAACTATCACACTCTGGAAATGCAAGATCTTTCAAGAAGGTAAAAGCTTCAAGGTGTGTACATTAAAAACAACAAAATACTGCTGAAAGAAAATTTAAAAGATGTAAATAAATGGAAAGACATCCCACTTTCATGGATCAAGTCTCAATATTGTTATGGTGGCAATACTCCATTTGATCCACACATTTAATAAATTCCCTATCAAAATCCCAGCAGCCTTTTTTGTAAAATTGACTACCTGACTCTAAAATTCATACGGAAATGCAAGAGACCCAGAATAGCCCAATCTTGAAAACGAACAAAGTTGGAACCTCAAACTTCCTAGTTTTAAAACAGTACAAAGCTACAGTAATCAAGACAGTATAGCTCTGGCATAAGGTCAGGTATATAGATCAATGGGACAAAACTGGCAGTTCAGAAATAAACCTTTACATTTATGGCCTATTATTTTTGACAAGAGTGCCAAAACAATTCAACGGGGAAAGAATCATCTTTTCAACAAATGATGCTGGGGCAACTGGATATCCACATGCAAAAAGAATGAAGTTGCATCCCTATTTCACACTACAATAAAAATTAACCCAAAATCGAAGCTATAAAATTCTTAGAATATAGGAATAAATCTTTGAGACCTTGGATTAGGTAATGGCTTCTTAGATATGACACCAAAAGCACAAATCACAAAAGAAAAACAAACTGGATTTCATCAAAATCAAAAACCTTGTGCTTCAGGAGATAACCATCAAGAGTGAAAAGACAACCCACAAAATAGCAGAAAATATCTGCAAATCATGTATCTGATAAGCAACTTACATTCAGAATATATAATGAACTCCTACAACAATAAAAGGACAAATAACCCAAATAAAAAATGGATAAATTATTTGAATAGACATTTTGTGAAAAATATACAAATGGCCAACAAACACACAAAAAGATATTCAACATCTTAGTCATCAGGGAAATGCAAATTAAAACCACAACAAGGGGTGCCTGGGTGGCTCAGTCAGTTAAGCATCCGACTGTTAGTTTCAGCTCAGGTCATGATCTCATGGGGTTGTGCGCTGAGCCCCGCCTCAGGCTCTGCACTCAGCAGGGAGTCTGCTTGAAGATGCTCTCCTTCTGTCCCTCCCTCCACTCACGCACATATGTGCCCACTCTCTCTCAAAAGAGATAAATAAATCTTTTAAAAAATAATAAAAATAAAATGACAGAGATACCACTTTATATCCATTAGGGTAGCTAAAATAAGAGAAGAGACAATGACAAGTGTTGGTAAGGATGTGGAGAAAGTGGATTCCTTATACCCTGATAGTAGGATTGCAAAATGCTTTAGCCACTTGGAAAAGCTTGGCTATTCCTCAAAATGTTAAACATAGAGTTACCATGTAACTCTATATAACTCCATACAACATCAATTCCACTCCTAGGTATGTACCCAAGAGAACTGGAAATACACATTCACCCATAAGGTTACACATAGACATTTATAGCAGCATTATTCATAATAGTAAAAAAAGTGGAAACAATACCAATCAGTATTTACCAATCAAACAATACCAACAATGGTCCATCAGCTGATGAGTGGATAAACAAAATGTGGTAAATTCATACAATAGAATATTACTTGGCATTAAAAAGAAATGAAATGCACAAGCTACAATAGGATGAACCTTGAAAACGTTATGCTAAGTGAAAGAAGACAATCATGCATCTGACTCTGTTTTGGCTCGGGTCATGATCTCAGGGTCATTGGGATGGAGCCCCATGTTGGACTCTGCACTCAGCAGAGTTTGCTTAAGATTCTCTTTGCTTAAGATTGCCCCTCCCTCTGTGTTCGTGTGCACGCGCGCTACCTCGCTCAAAATAAACAAATCTAAAAAAAAAGCTAATCTTGTGACAGAAAGTAGATTAGTGGCTGCCAGATGCTGAGAAGATAGGAAAAAAGGGAAGTAATTGCTAATATTATTAGAGAAGATTTTGGGGAAGGTGATGAAAGGGCTCCAAAAATGGTTAGTGTGGGGCGCCTGGGTGGCTCAGATGGTTAAGCGTCTGCCTTCAGCTCAGGTCATGATCCCAGGGTCCTGGGATCGAGTCCCGCATCGGGCTCTCTGCTCCTTGGGAGCCTGCTTCTCCCTCT